GGGGGGGGGGGGGGGGTATTTGTGGAGAAAGAGGTGAGGCTTCAGTTACTGAGCAGTCTGGTTATCTGGGTCCATGACAGACTGGTTTCAGGAGGGGGACAGAACAGAAACCATACTAACCACTCTCATGGATCAACCTGTGGCAGAATTTGGATGGTGGGAACACAATTATCCTTATTCCTCCAGATCTCCCAGAAGCTTTCAATATGCAATTAGAGTATCACTCTGGACCATGTGCAAGAGCTGGGACTTGGAACTTTGTTTTACAGTGGTTCTACTACCTGAGTTGGTGAAATCAATGGGGAGGGAGAAGCATTATGAAGTGCCCCAAGACTTGGTTCTATCCTATTCAAAATTGTTGTGAGAGGTCATCCATTGGTTCAAGATCTTGTATCATTAATGTGCTAATAATACTCAGTTGTACACCTTTACCCTGGGCCCAATGGGACATCCGATGGAAATTCTGACTTAGTGCAGAAGGCTGACAGACTCTGGATGGGGGGGAAAAGGGTCAGACTCAACTGGTTGTTATTTCAGCAGCCTATTGATTTCAGGACTGTACCAACTTTGACTCTCAATGGGAATGTACTCCCCCAGAAGTAGCAAGTTTGTAATTTGGGGATCTTCACAGATTCATAGCTCTTGCTTGAGGAGTAGGTGGAAGCTAGGCCAGGAGGACCTTCGTTCAACTTCAGCTGATGCACCAGTTGCAGCCTTACCTGGAACCGCTTGTTCTGAGGATGGTTTGCCATGTGTTTTCCATCTCTTGGTAATCTGCTCTACACAGAGCTGCCACAAAGGACACCTGAGAACTTGAGCTGGTCCAGAATGCAGTAGCTCATATGCTTACTACTCACTCTTGGTGGTGCCACATAACATTGTTACTGTGGGAGTTCTATTGGTTGCTAGGCTATTTCCAAATGCAACCAAAGTTGCTGGTCACTATCTTTAAATTCCTGTATGGCTTGGAGTTCTGGGTGTCCAAGAGACTGTCTTTCCTAAATGGATTCTGCCTGCCTGATCCAGACAGCCACCTACTAAGGGTCTGCATTTCCCATGAGGTACAATGGGAGGAGGCCTGGCAATGAGTGTTCTTTGTGGGAGCCCCTCCCCTATGAAATTGCTTGTCCTCTGAGGCAATGGGTTCCACACTCATACCTTCTGGAAGTTGGTAAAATCGGGCTTTTCCAGAAGATCTTTAGGAATCAATTGCCATTGATACCCATATGAGTTTAATATATTAAGAAATTTTTATGTTATTTATGTTCATTTATTATTATTGTTTCATTATGTTTTCTTATATTGGTAAACCAACTAGAGTCCCTCTGGATTAAGGTGAGGACAGGTGCACACATAAATACTTTCCTAGATACTAGTTGTAAAATCACAGTTTGCATTAAGAGTGACTTAGATTACTTATTTTAATAGAGCACACAGGAATTGAGTAGAAATCAACTTCTTACCTTTTCAGTAATATAAAAATTGGAGCCATCAGCATGTTGCAGTGCATAATGTTCATGGTTTACAAGAGACCACCTTATAAGACACAAAGACATGCATTAGTAAAATGTGTACAGAAAAGAGAAGATGAAGAACTTTTTATTTCCCTTCACCATTTAATTACAGCTTTGATAACAAAACATTAAGGTAAACTTAGAATACAGCTTTAATATCATCCTTAAAAATGATATTTACCACATTTTGCCTAAATGAACTATAGTAGGAATGAGTTTCCTACTGGTGATGCAGTTTATTCACTTCTTACATCATATATGTGAATAAAAAACTGGGAAGGGATAAGTTTATGTACTAGTTGAATCTACAACTATGTTTAAGAGGCTCAACCAATCAATAAATGCTGATTTAAAGAAAGTTATTATCTTGCCTTGCTTGTCTCCTAGCTCAAAACATCAGTTTTGATGCCATATTAAAGTATTGCTGCCGCTCACATGAAGACAGAAGCACACAGGCTGTGAGCACCAGCAGCAACAGCAGCAGGCACATACTTTGGCCATTTCAAGATATATTATATCAGGATTTCTGGCTTGCTGGATCTGAACAGAATACTTCTCTCTCCCCTTCACCCCAAATTGGATATGAAAGTGAATATCCCCCTCATTATAATTCCATAAAGTTGAAACAAAACAAAAGATCATATACAACAAATCTATTCTTCTTAATGCAAGACTGGGCAATAAATCAATTTTTAAAATATTTCACCTTCTATCTCTGAAGTTCTCAAAGGGATTCCTATAAGATTTAGTGGGATAATATACGTGAGCCCAAGAACACAGCTAGCTGTCACTATGGGAGGTGCTCACAGGCCACCTGATTGCATCTCTACTGTAGTGTGAAACCATCCCCGATGCTATAGGTAAATGGACAAGCCTGCTTTATAGAGATGCACACAAACATCAAATTCCAACTCAGCCATAATGTTTATTGGATAACCTCAGGCTATGGTTTCTTTCTTTGTCTAATATAACTCTCAGGGCTATCTGGCATATTGGGGAAAAACTGGGATACATATGTAATAAACATCATAGTTTTCTTCCCAGGCCACCTTCAAAACTAAAGACAGACAACTGAAGCCCAAATTCAAAAGATTTTTCTATTTTACCCAGTACAATGAAAATGATGTTCATCTCAATATAAGATAAAAAACCAAATATATGAAGAAGCAGCCTGTATTCCTTAAACTGAGATGGTTGAATTAACCACAAAGACGACAAAATTTATTTCTGTGAAGTATATTTGGGAATTGAAAACAGTACAGCAGAAAATAGAACTTACCCATCACAGACTTCTTTTATGATTGCAGTCAGTGGCTTTTTCTGAGCATAAAAAAGAGGGGAAATATCATTATTTGTGCCCATCACAGCATAACCTCTAATACACATTTGTAATATAAAATGAAATTTCAACTTATTTCAGTTAATGAGTACTTTTAGATTATTTCCTTCCAGTGATATATAAATCTTCTAAATAAATATTTTATCTGATGATTGAAGATTACATGCCATCAATTCATTGTTGAAAATACTGATCTAAGTGGCCCAATTAAGAAAAGCAAGGTTCTATACATAAATTGTAAACTAAACATAGGACTCCAAAGATTTTAAAATACTAGTGTACTATGGCAGTCTTCCTCAGTGATACTCCAGATGTTTGGGACTATAACTCCTATCAACTATATATGGCATTTCCAGGTTGGCTGGGGATGATGGGAGTAGTCACATGTCTTGCAAGTAGGATTTCAACTAAGCCCTTGTTCAAACATGACATTACTAGGCAGCCTTAAAGTAAGCAGAACTTCAGACATCATTGATCTGTGTCAACATGGCCATTGCGCAGAATCATTATGCATAGTCTAAATTTGCACACTACTCTAAACCAGGAGTGGAGAGAAATATGTTTGATGAGCAAAGATAATAATAATATTGCAAATAATTAAGCATGGAGCATTGAAGGTCCTTTTATGATTCCCTAATGCTATTCATATCCCCACACAGATTAAAGTTAACTTCATGTTTCAACACAAGCGTTGTTTAGAATGATGCAGAAAGAAATACCTAATCAACCCGACCTAATAAACTGCTGGTAATATGCATGATGAGTAAAGTGTGTTTTGAATATAAACTTCAGGAAAACCAGCTCTACTGTGTACCACACCCCTCTCTTTCTTGCATTATTTGTGTGCATGCATCTGTGCACAGAAACAGATGTAAAACATTTTCCATTTTCACAGGGAGGGTTGCTAAAAAACTATTTCAATTTCAATAGAACACCTTCTACTTTACTGTGAATCTGGTATGCAGTAAGTCTGCATAGTATCTTATGGCCTGGCTGAAGTTAATTTTATTTGGTTTACGATCCCAAAAGTAAAAAAGAACACTGTCTGGTTTGGTGATGTCACAACATTCTGAGCACTGCTGTAAACATAAATGCATGCTTCTCACAAAAGAAAAGATCACCTTTTGCTGGAAAAAAGTGATTATCGTAAAAATTAATTAGTTTGGTTACACCAATTATCAAGAAACAAATCAGGATTGCTTCTTTAACTAAATGTGTATCTTTACTTTTGACCACCTAGCATGGTTAGGGGACATTTGCATTATATAGAGAGGAGATTGCCATCTATTTATAAAAATTCTGCTTTGTGTAAAACAGTGACAATACCTTTCATACAACAATACTAATAATAACCGCAGGAATGGCCACTTGTAGCATGGATACTTTGGGAGAGGCACACAGAGATCCTCTAAAAGTTGCTTGCAATTTTAATGTGAGAGAAGAGGGAAGCAGATAAGAAATCTGTTTAAAGATAAATGAACTATGAGATTTTGTGTTGGCCCTTGAAGGACTCAGAATTTCTGAATCTATCTATATTTTGGAGAGTGCTGTCTAGTGCTACCCGGGCCACATGTCACCATAGGCCTGAAGAAGGTCCAGCACCTCACCTTCACACTAAGACAAAATCAAACAAATCAGACTCTGGGTGCACAACACATGCACCCAGCCAGAATTAGAAAACACCTCGGATAGCTATTCTACGAGCAGGAATATGGTTTGAAATTTTGGCAAAATGACCCTTGAGGTTATATGATTTAGGAGGGAGCTACACAGGAATCATATAGAGGCAGTGACATAATTGGATTTCAGGCAAGTTATCACCCAAAGTAAGAGTTTTCATGTGTTGCAAATGCAAATTCATTACAGGTATTGAATTAGCAAAAGAACAAGGATAAAATGGAAATAATTTTGGTAAGACAACAATGCTATAGACAAATGGTCCATAAATTAAGCGAGTTGCCTGTTTACAACATGATGGCACATCTACCCCAGAACAAATGTATAATATAATGATGCTTCTAGACAAAGAGTTATCAATGTAATCGCAGCAAAAGAACCCTTTTTTCTAGATATATCTTTTGGGGACAAAGATATTACTACAACGATACCCTCAAAATTGTATGAGTACAATGCGTTCTGTGTAAATCTGCCAATAAGGCTAAGGCAGAAGTGGCAGTCTGTACAACATATTGCAGCTAGATTATCAAACAGCCAGTCTACTGGGAACATATTATACTTTAAGTGCTAAACTGGCTGCCAATATGTTATATAAATAAATTCAAGGTGATTGTGTTGGCATGGTTTGGCACCATCAGGATACCTGGTAGAACAATTTCTGCCTTCTGGTTCCACTTTTGTCATTTGTTTTCTTCCTATATGGAAATCCACTTTTTCAATACAGGTACCTCAACTGTAGAATTTCCTTTCTGTTCAGATATGAGTAAAAATACTGAGTCATTCAAGCTTTCAACTTCAACTGAAGACCTATTTGTTCAACTATGCTTTTAAATAAATTAGTGTTGCTGCAATTCTGTGCTGTCACATTTGTGCTATTTGTTTTTAGTTGTTTTTAATTCAAAAATTCTGTGATTTAATTTAATTCTTTCACTGCAATGTGCCCAGCCTGCAATTTATAATGAAAAGCAAATAAAACAAACCTAAATAAATTAAAATAAAAAATAAGTAAAATAAAATATATGTGAAATAAAATAAAATAAATAAATAAAATAGATGGAAAATCTCAATTAATAAAGCTTTAGTTAGCTTTCAAAGCTCTTTAAAATTAGGCTGGTGAGGTCCTGATTGGGAGCCAAGGTTGACTTTTTGAATTAATTTTATCCGATCTTATCCTACCTGAATTATCTGATCTAAATATTTCAATTTTTAAATCAAAGCATCATAAAATACCATTGACAGTTTCAATATAAGAAAAAAAGAATAATGTTCAACCTATGCTCCCAAACAAGGAAAAGTCCTTAAACTCCAGCAAAGTTCTTCTATCAGGTCCCATCACAAGCTGTGATAGTTGCTTACTAAGATTAGATTATGAGTGGCAATAATCTCCAGGGAGAAATACAACTCTGCCTGCTTTTATGCTAGCTACTTAAAATACATATATTTCTGCAGACATTTTAAGGCTCCAGGTTTACTTAACATTTGTTTCCATTTTTAACTGATATTAATTCAAATGGCTGATTGTGCTGTCAGTTGTTTCAAGTTGTACTTTATTAAGTTATTATAATTTAGTTCAATTCAATAATACTAAATTATTGTAATTTTGTGTTAGTCACCTTGAACACAACAGTAAAATTCTAACATATAAATCAATACAAAAATAATACTATTATATTTCTATTAATATAACATGTAATGCTGATATTGTTACAGAACCTATTCCACTTCAATTTTTCCATATTATATGTAGTTATAATGAAAATACTATCTCTAGTATTAAGCCAAGGCCTCTGTAGTTGATTATATCTTCACCACAAGATCATGCAACAATAGAAGAAAAGCAAGAACTATACCCAGAGTTGACCCAGTGAGGAGACATTCAAGCATGGAAAGGGAAAAAAACAGAAGTATACTATCTTTCAGTACTTTTCATATTCTTCTTTCTATAGTCATTCTACTTTCATTCTAATTGTTTTCATTACTTTTTTCTTCTGCCTTGTCCATATTTTCCCAAGATCCTATCTTGGCATTACCAAATAATATTCAGAATCTCTCATCATCCTTTGATTTCTCATGCCCCAATGGCTTTTTCTATAGTCTCTCATTTTGTTCCCAACCTTCCATTCAAATTACCTAATAATATTTTTTCTCCCTGTGTTGCATTAATTCAGAGTGTTTTCCCCAAACTCATATCTGTTTTTCCATCATCATTCATCAAACCATAACATGCCACTATCACTAACCAACAGATTCCTACTTTCATACAACAATCTAGGTGAAATCAGTTCATATTTTGACATTCATTGTAGCCCCTTTATCCGTAATTAAACCTACACCTTCCCTTGCCTGATATTCATCAGGTCCACAAGATCACCTCACTTCATGCATATCTAATACATGCTTCCCTTCTATTTTCATTCTTCCATGCATTTCATTTGTTAATTCATACTCTTTATATTGTATACTCCTCTTACATTCCAAGTTGCAATCTTCCATTTGACATGGTCATCACCTGATGGGCCTTCAGACAGTAATCTCTGCCTCCTATTCTTTGTCTTCAATAACATTTTTAGTAAGGCATCTAAGGTTTAAATTAGGTTTCCAACCTTAGTCATTTCTGTGCCACATTCATCATTTCCTGCTAATGGTAAGAACAGTACTGGAAAGTTTTGGTAGACTAAAGCCCAGTTTTACCCCAACCACACTTACATTATTCTTTGTAAGCTAGAATTTCTAATCTAGAGACTACTACTGTCATGCCATGCCAACATACATTTGCTCATATCCCACCAATTCAGAAATATATGCAGTGAATTGACACATAATGAGAATGCCACTTATCATCTTTTAAGAAATGTCCCTAAAGTAAAAAAGGCCTCTTCAATAAGTTACAAACATATTAAATCAAGACACTAGTATCATCATAATGTGCCTCTACATTTTTCCTAACAATCTTTGTTTGTCATATGATAAGTGACATATTTTGAGTTTTCCTCTTTTTTTTTTTTTTTTTAACATCACATAATTTATCTCTGGTGGAGACCGCTGTGTGCAGGATGCTGTTATAATATTCCAGGAAGGCTTCTACAATTCTCTCTGTGCAGCAAGCTCTATCAGAGTTACACAATTTGTGATTATAAAGCAGACCTTTGCAAGTAAAAAAGATCAAAAACGTAATACATGTATTGCTGCAAAATACCACACATGCAACATCACCTCCTCCTCAGCAAACAAGTCAACAAAAGAGCCAGTGTCCGCAAAAGGGGCAGCTGGATTTGTAAGCAATGTGTTCTCTCTCTCTGTCTCC